CTAACAGATGAATCGGACAGTGCTGAATCCTTTGCGAACAAATTAAGAGACGCTCTATCCATCACAGGTTTTGGAATGATTTTGCTTGCACTTGACTGGACGGGTGAAAGTTCCCAGAGATTGGTCCAAATGTATCCCGAGTTAAAGTCTGGTGATATCACCTACAAAACAAACTCAGAAAAGAGGGAATTGCACATAGAGTCTGGTATAGCTGCCGATGGGCAGTCTTTCAGCCACACATGGGCATTGTTCCCATGTGCTTCAAAGTGGATATTCCAGTGGTTCTACCGAAATGCCTTGCCCCGACTTCATTCGGCCAAAACTCTGTCGAGAGTAGAAGTGGCTGCTCATGATGAAGACGAGAAGTGTTACATGATGTTTCAACAAACAGACGGTGTTTGCAAACCATTTTCAAATGCTGTAGTTACAGCTTTTTAATTGGACAAGGTGAACAGAATTTACCAATCATCCAAATTTCAAATCCATCATTGCACAATTGACAGAGACTGACGATGTGATTGAGTGGGAGATGATCGTGTCTTGGCTATGGAAATTTGCCCGATATCAGACAAGAGAAGAAGCGGATTTGTCTCAGCAGATGCTCATGCATTACCTTGACGAAGACGAGGATCTCCACAAAATCAAGTTGAGGGAACCATCGTACTGGACTCCCATCTTTCAGCAGAACAGGAAATTCAAAAACTATGCAACAAGAACCTGGGAGAGTGGTGAGGAGATGGTGGGATTGGTGGAAGAGAGCCAGACTTCGGAGTTACAACAGAGCGATTTTCCACTTACGGATGACTACGTTGACAGTGATGTGGAAATTGCTACTGCTATAGATGTGCGTGGTGCGTACAAGACATTACTACCAAAGTTTTCCGATGTTGCAAAGGTGGTCAATTCTGTGGACGAATATAGAATCCTGAGAGAAGCATTGGACAAAGCACACAGTGAGATTTTGAAGCTGCAGATTGAAGAAAGTCTGCGCATAGTTTGGTCAGACTGATGTCCGATGTTAAGCTACCAGAAACTCGACAAATCAGAAGAGTGTGGGAAAGGCCATTTGACCAGTTCCCGCCAAGAATCAAAAAGATAATGCTAGCCATTCTCTTTGCCCTTTTTTCTCTTCACACGGTGTGATACGCTGCTATCTTCATCTTCCTCAGAGGAAGATGAAGCCGGATTGCCTGCTGGAGCGGCTGCTGGAGCGGCTGCTGGAGCGGCTGCAAGAGCCCTGAGACCTTCAACTTGTGCCCTGTGCTCAGGATTGTTGGGGTCGAGTCCAAGAAAAGTGTAAGTTCTGGCTTCGGCATCCTCAGCTTCACCCATTTCCCTCTGACGTCGTTGTGCTTCGGCTTCTGCAGCTATCTCTGCAGCAACATTACCTGCGATACCATCATATCGCCTTTCACAGAGGTCCTTTCTTGAAGAAGTTCCACCTCCCACCGATCCATCTTCGTTTGGAGGTCTAGAATGATTGTACATGCTAGGACCAACCTTTCGGACTTTGAAGGAGTTAGCACTTTCGGCACTACTCTGTGCAACACCAGGCTCAAAGCATTGGTGACAAAATGCTGACAGTCCAGGATGGTAGATAGGATGCGTGGTGATGGATCCATCTTCGTTTCGGCGCTTCGCGGTCATCGGAATGGCTTCTTGAATACATGTAACAAAGTTGCGGGGAGTGATTTGTTCGGGGAAAAAAGGACCAGGATTGTCAGGGCCAAAGGGAATCCCCTCCTCAGATTCCTCAGCCTTCGTCTCTTCTGCATCATTCTCGTTTGCCCCGTGATCGTCTTGCGGACCAGATTCATCGTCAGAATCCACCATGATGCCTAAACGAAAATACTAAACAAGAAAACAAAATAGGTGAGACAACGAACACGGGTAATACGTATAATACAGGTAATACGTATAATACAGGTAATACATATAATACAGTTGATACGTATAACACGGGTGATATGCATAATACATGTTACACCTGATACACGTATAACACGGGTGATACATATAATACACATTACATTCATAACACGTGTTACACCATAAAACGTGTTACACCATAACAAGTGTTACACGCGTAACACGTATTGCGCGCTGACTGAGGTACTTAAATGGGTTCAGTACTGGTCCCTACAGAAAGTGGTTGACAATGAGAGAATTCAAGGCAAGATCTTCCACAGGCTTCATCAGTGAGCCTTCAGAAGAATATGAATGCAAAGAGAATGGTCCTGTGAGCTTGACAAAGCCTGATAAAGAGAGTGGGGGCAGGAGAATGAAGAAGGAGTTGAATGGAGAGAAATCCTTCTATCTTTCCACAGAAACAGTCTTCTTGGCTTCAACAAAGCCATACCCACATTGCCTACTTACCCACAATGATGGTACTATCTTCAAATAACAACAGAAACCTCTGTATCCTTCAAACAAACAAGAGAAGAGAGGTTGTTGTCATGGTGGTTCTTTGTGGTGGAGATTGCATGGTGGAGATTGGTGTTGAAGCCATTTTGCGAACGGTCATTCGAACGGTCACGGAGGCTGGCTGGCGACCGTGTAATACGTGTAATACGTGTAATACGTACAATGCGTATCGTGTAATACGTGTAATACGTATTATACGTAGAATACACATTGTACGTATTACATGTATTACATCGCGTGCGTTTGAGGGTCTCTCTTTGCTAAATTGATGACGCAGAGAACGAGAGTACAGTACAAGCGAGCAAAGCTCGTCTTGTTAGACATAGAGATGACACTTTTCACCCATCTCCTTCTTCTACCGGTTGAGATCTGAAGGCTATATTGGGTCCCGGAAAATTACTTGAAATTGCACTCTTGAAGAATGCTCCAAGACCAGCCTAGCGGCCTACTGCCACCAGCGCCAGCTAGATACTGTAGTATATTCTCTGTAGCCAGTTTCTCTTCATCAGATTCTCACAGCAACATAGACTAGTCTATTTGACCTTTCTTGGTTGTGCCTTGATTATTTACACATCCCTTAGCATATCATGCTCAGGCACTGTGGCATACTCAACCATCAGGTAAGGGCAATGAGATTGCGTGGGTATTCCCAAAGCCACCAACCCGCAACTCGATACAGGAAGTTGAAATTCATTCAAGGCTCTCATCCACAGATTCAGAAAGAAATCACCCCTCAGGTTGCATGGATCTCGTCAGTTTGGATGGATTTCCTGTCTCCTGCTAGAGCCCGCTCGTAGAAGCTCTCGTGGCTAGCTGGATGCAGTTTGAGATTACGGGATTGAGGTACGAGTTTAATAAAGGAAGTGGGTGAGACACGTAGAAAGTGTACCAACGCTACAGCCCAAAAATGGACCAAAACCGTCTATAAGCAAATGACTGTCTCAATGTCCGATTGACCAATAAGTAGATTAATACGAAATCGACCTCAAGTACCATTGACTCATAGCATGTTTCCCATACTGACCACATGATTTAACATCACATACCCTATGTTAAACGTGTATTTCATTTTCGCTATACTTTTTGTGAGATAGTTAAATATTTTGGTCCATTATTGAGTCCCGTTAACTCAGAAAATAGAGAGTGAGACAGAAGGTTTCCGATATTGTACTGTTTTTGCTATAGTACCGCTGATGTCTCAAAGCGATGGACCAAAACCGACTTTATACCTGTAAAGTATCGTTCGAGTCTCAGTCTACATGATAAACGAAAGACCTTCAAACCATACCTACGCTGTACCCAGAAAAACTGTAATTCCTGCTGTAATAAGGCCACAAGGAAAAGCCGATCAAATGAAAGAAAAAGAGAACCTTCTGGGTTCTCGTTGTTTTGGCCAGTGAAGATCGGTGAACACGTGAACACAGGAAGCCAGCTAGAATTAGTTTAGGCTTTGCATGAGGGAGGTTGGTATCACTTGAAGAATGTTTCCGGTCCAGTATTTTTGAGGCTTTCCAGCTGGCTCGCTAGACTAGCTAGATTGCGGTATAGCGGTACATCGTATGTCATAGCACTGTATCCGGCTGGCTGGCTAGTCGTGCAGTTGGGAAGAACCGAAACGATGCACTGGCCCTAGACGTTACGTATACGGAGGTTCTGTGTTGGTTATTGTGGTTGGGATTAGGACATGGCTTTCATGGTCCAGCTAGCTAGAGACCTTGCGCTTCCCGCCAGTATCCTCGAGCTTCTCTCCACGAAAAGTCCCAACCACACACGCATCTCATATGATCACAGCCATCGCCTTTGCTGATCACAATCCGGCATCGAGGGCATAGCGCCCAACCTGAATTTTGGCCAACCCCGTCGCTCGGAAGGGTCTCCAAGACACGTCGTGTTTGGCGGACAGTTGTCGCCCGACTCGAGTTGATTCTTTCCTTGGCCATTTCACGAAAAAACATTGCGTTGGCTCGGCGTAAAATTTCTGCATGTCCATGGTCGATCCGATCGCTCGGCGCTTACGGTATGCTTGCAAGGATCGTTCGTTTTGCGTGGCCTTTGCGTCGAGGACACGTGAGCGCATTTCCTTTCCGCCAAGAAACGGTGCAGCCCAAAGGTGCTACCGCAAGATCTGCAGGAAAAGGTTTGTAGCTGGTCGTGTGTCGGCAGCGCCTGTTGGGCTGTTTGACGTGGATGATCACAGGAGGGGCAGTGCAAGACTTTGGATTGGGGATTTTGGTAACTCTTTGCCAGGACAGTCCAGCGATAATGTTTGCTCAATTCGGCGGAATCCAACGCTAGGCGCTCAAGCTGTGTCTGCTGCAGGGTCTTGGAGCATGATGGATGGAAACACCGCAACGGGTATTGGGCGACGTCTTTTTGAGCGTGCCTGACGTAGACTTGTCGAAGACAAGCGCTACATGACAGGGCATGCTGGCAATTCTTAAAAAGTCTAACCAGAGCGACGTCTTCTTCCAAGCAAATGGCACAAGTACCCATCGTCGTCGTACCGGCATCACCAGACAGAACTTTTTGCATGTTGGGTTTCTGCATGGTGCGTCTGGGGAGTTGCTCGGGCCCAGACAAAACAATGTCGTTTCCCTCTGGATCAGCAATCTGTTGACCTCTTCTTCCCCGGCTCCTGCGAGCTTTCTGCAAGTGTCGTTTGCTGTCTTCCGAAACAAAAGCGTTGTCTTCCAACTCAACTTTTCTTTGTGCGAGGGCCAGGCTGCCTCTTGCACGATCGCTCTCAACGGTACGGCGGCTTGATCCGCCTCGGCCTTGTTTCTTCCCGGACCCGGTGCAGTTCTTTAGGTATCCTCTTGGCATTATTTTCTTTCGAACTTTCTCTATCTAGTAGGGTCTTCTTGTATACTTCTTTCAGTTTTGTGTGTGGGCTTTGAAAGTCCAACACCGGACGGAAGGCACGTCTGCTTGCGAAGAGTGTGAATCGTGTGATGCACGAATGGCGATGGTATGTTCAAATGCGCACAGACTGACTTCTGTGGAGCTTGGGTTTGGTCAAGGTAAAACACATCATGCAAGCCTTGGAAGAACTTGATATGCTTTTGTGATTCCACCACCAAGTCTTCGTTGCAGATGGACTAACCGTTTGGGTTGTGGTGAGCGCTCGTCATGGTGGTTGCTATCCGTCCGTGGCAAAAGTGGGCCACAAGTAAAAGTTTCACAATTCAAAGATCGTCATCCTCTGATGAGATTCAGGTCAAGTCAGGTTCCTCTTTTATGTCAAAAGGAGACCATTTCTGATTGAATCCAATCATTCATCTGCAAACCAATGCTTTGGTGGTCCAAGGCGCGAGTGTTGCTTTCGTACCGTATGTGCTCTGAGTTTCATTTTAGAGCTTCGTTAGGGTTCAGGCTACCGGTATCTTTTGACAGCTGGATCTTTTGGGCTTCGCACAACCACCAAAGCATCCATCACAACTCATTTCAGTTTCTTCCATCCTTACCAACTCTGCAATTTGAAGACAATAAAGATGAAGAAACCTCAAGACAATATCGTGCTGTGGCAACTGCTGCTGCTTCTCCCTTTTTCGCTGGAAGCATTTACTCTGGGTAGCAGCGCCCCTGCAGTATCCCGTCCTTCTACGCCACTCTTTCGACAATCCGACAGCAAATGGGACCACTTGGACGATGAAGACGGCGAAAACGACCTACGTGCTCGACCCGACATGAAGTACGTCCCTCGCAATGTGCAACGTCAACATCAGAACTTTGTGGCCATTCGAGATGCCGGTGGAAAGGAGATGACCCACGACGTGTACGTTCCCGAACCCGATTCCGATACGTTTTGGTTTGTCGGTAAAGTGGCTCGGATCAGTGATGTCACGGTAGAACAAGCAGTCGCACGACAATGGCCCCTGATTGTACAGCATGCCGCCAATCTACGTCCCATTGAACTATACCCCAGTCGGGCTCGTTTGGAACTGTGGGTGGCACCGGGCGATTCGGAATTGGATGTGGCATACAATCGACCCGATATTGTCTTTACCAAAATGGAACGAGAGGGTGTCGAAGGGGCTCAAGCGCTCAAATCTTCCATGATTGGCTTTCAGGGAGAAGTTTACACGGAAGGACAAGGTATGGGATTTCGTACCATGAGAACGCGCGAGGGTCTACCAGTCAATCCGGAAATTCAAAGTCCGGAAGCACCAGGTGTCAATAGTGAACTCACAGAGGAGCTATATAGTGACCCCAAATTCAGAGCTCCATCCGCAGAGGAGCTAGAGTTATTGCAGAATCAGCTCAAAGACAAGAACATGGACATTAGTGATCTGTATGAGGAACAGCAAAGGAGAGAAGCAGAGTAAAAAGACGACTTTAAATTAGCTAAATAGAGTTTGGGTTCATCCCCATAAAGCAAACATCTGAAGTGATAAATCGGGGGCAATTAACTCTTCTAGACCACTCTTGCTTTGACCGAAAGAAAACGACCAGCAGTCCTTTGGAAAATGAAAACAATACGATCTAGTTAGCAATGTTGAACATGGCCTTATCTTTACATACCGCTAGCTAGCTAGTTAGCCAGACTATGGTTCTACGGGGTCTTTGTTCAAGATATCAACCACAACAGATACAAGTACGGAAGCTAAGAAGGCGGACCACCACCATACCCATCTTGTTGTTGAAGCTGTCGACGACCACCACGGTCTTGGTCACCAGCACGCGCCATGCGGTTGAGTTGACGAAAGAGTACTTGGATGGCACGGTAGAATTGTATCATTTCTCTATCCTGCTGATACTGTTGATGATTGCGTTGCTGATTGATGCGTAGGGCACGATACCACAGCCATTGACGGAGAATCCACACCATCATGAGCATCAGCACCAGAAACACCAGGGGTCGACCCACAAACAAAAAGGCCGATTCTTTCGCTTGGTACATGGCTTGACAATCGGAAAAGTTGCGTTCCCAGAATTCTTGATCGCCGTACGTCATGCGTGCGCAAATGGAAGGCAGAGAGGCACCTTCCCATCCACCAAATACAGCCGGGCCAGAGCGATAGGTATCTTTCAACGGCTGGGTCACCAAACTGTGGTAAAAGGCTGGCAGTAAAAAGCACAATTGGTCCCAGACACTCTCCAAGAAAAATGGAATGCCCGAGACCATGTGCAACAGCAGGCTCAACTTTTTCCACACCACTGCAAAGAACAGCACCAATCCACCAAATATGACACGCCAATCATGCCACCAGGGAGCCTTGGGAACCGGTTTGGGCATGTAGAGAGAATAGATTTGCCGGCGCAAGAATTTGGAGTCTTCTTCGGAGGTAGTGTCACCGCAGGACAGTAAGTGTTCCAGCGATACAAACATTCCATTCTGGTAGCCAAAAAGTCCCACGACAGAATCGTCTGAATAGTCTGTGGCTTGGACAATGCACTTGGACAGGATATAGGCCGTCATTCCTCTTGGAACATGGATTCGGAGGAGACCCTTGCCAGGGTGACGTAATCGGAGCACCCAATCCGCATTACAAATCGCAGGCGGTGGCGGAGGCGTGGGAGGAGTGGGTGGAGCTGGATAAGGTGGGGGAGGTAACGGTGGAGGATTGGGAATCTGCTGGTTTGTTCGAGGCGTCACCCCCGACCCTCGGCGTGGTTGAAGTTGAGGTCTTTGCTGCTGCTGTTGTCTTGCAACACTTGGGCTGGGTGGTGGTTGACGAGGACTGGGTGGCGGTTGACGAGGAGAGGGAGGCGGAACTCTGGCGCTTCCTCCAGGAGGCGGCGGCGGCAGGGGAGGCGGACCTATCAAAGGTCTTCTCTCATTATTAGCTTCGTCCTCTGAACTGGATGATTGACCATCTTGCCGCGTCCTCATTGTCGTCGAGGATTGCTTGGGTCTCGTCGTTGTTTCTTATCGAATGATGTGATGTGTTGCTGTCATCGGTCCTGTCTTGAGACCTGAGAAAAGATCGCTGAAAGATCCGTTGGGCAAGCGGGAATGAGTGATTCGTGAGGCCTCACTTTTAAGAAAACATAAAGGCTTCTTCAAATCAGTGCTGGGCTGGACAAAAAGCCCATGCAGCACAGGTGTTGCCTGTCTATCCGTTGCCACATTAGAAGATGGTCCGCTGTAGAGGGCCAGATCGCTGCCGTGAGGCTTGAAACGTGGGAATATCCTTTGGTTGCGTCGCATACTCTGTGACTGATTTCAAGGCTGTTTCAGTGGGCACTACGGAAAGTGCCGCTGTGAGGATCCCTCCACTGGAATGTCTCTGAGCCCGAGCCACCAATTTCCGAATGCGTCGTTGATATTCTTCATTTCCCACTTCACCAGCAAACAAGTGAAACGGCACCGCCACAAGTCGTCGTCGAAGAGCCACCAAGGAACCCTCGACACTTGCAAGAGAACGGTTGCCCTTGTCCATGGCAAAGAAGGCAGCCTCCTCTTTCTGACAGTATTGAATGTAATCTAGAAGGACGGATTCGCGTGTGATGGTACGACTGGATTCATCATCATGCCCCCACAACGCTGCGTCGACATTGCCAAAGGCGCACGGATGGTTGATGGCAGCTCGTCCCACCATGGCCCCGGCAATCTTACTCCCCGGACGAGGGACTCGGCTTTGAATATCCTGCAGGGAGCCAATCCCTCCATTGGTGATGACTTGCAACTGAGGAAACTCGGCAGCCATCATGTCCACAACTTTGGGCCTCAGTGGCGGCACACTTCGGTTCCGAATGGTGGCATATCGAGCTTGTTTTTTGGCACGGTACTGGACGCGTTTGTGATCTACTTTGATTTTTTGTTTTGTTGAATCCGTAGCAGTGCTCGTCCCTGGAACCCACAGATTTGTGCCATCCTCGGCGACTTTATTGTCATCATCATTGGATGCATCAAAGTCTCCCAAAAGGCCCAGCCTGGCGTGGACTTGAATCTTGGAAATGTCACCTCCCAAACTAATGGTCCGCACAAAGTCCCGACATTGTTGAAATGCGTGGTAGTCCCCATCCGGCCGTGCTCGATCGTCTTGTGCATTGTAGGTTGCTGCGTTGTGCACGCCCAGTCGATGCTTGACCGAGAGAGTCGTCGTCATCTTATGGGGGCCAGCTTGATCCAGAGCATGTGACATTTGCTCGAGGCAGCGAGCCACGACCGATGGCTCTCGCATCAAGGCGGCCCCTCCCGATCGCTCTCCTCCCGAGACGGCATTGGAAGGACATCCACAATTGAGGTTGATGCCGTTGTATCCATAAAAGGATCCAATGGCACTGGCCAAGGCGAGTTGTTGTGGGTCTCTCCCGCCTAGTTGCAATATGATGGGTCCTCGTGTACCAGTCGGATGGGTGGCCGGTGGTAATTCTGCCATTTGGAGCAAGCCATCGAGTGGGGATGGCTGTTCGGCAGTACCTGTAGTAATACCACTGATATCATTGTTTTGAGACGACGATGATGACGCCAGCAAGTCGAGTGATTGATGAATGGAAAGATCTGTAGTGGGTGTTTTTACGTTGAATTGTTGCTGAAATGCGGCCACAATTTGAGCCGCCGGAATCATCTCGGTGTAGAGAGTGGTACACTGACTGATGTGCCGAAAGAAGTAATGATAGTGTCGATGTGTATGAGCCATCATGGGTGCCACAGAAAATAGTTCCTTCTCAGGATGGTGTACTTCTTCTTTGCCATTGGTCAGTGATGCGAGTGGTACATGTTGTCCAAAACGAGGACTTGTCTGTGGCAAGCCAGAGGCACATCTTGTGATGAAAGTCTGCAAGCAGAAGGACTCCACAGAAAGCCAACAAGATAGACCCACCACTGGAAAGAATGGGCCACAAATCCTCCGAAACATGGATCCAATCACAGACAGAACCAGCACCTCTGGTAGAAGACCTGACTAGACTAGCTAGAGCTAGTATCTCTTCTTCTTTACGGCTTTCCAGCTTTCCAGAGCTAGCTCGGATTCTCTCTACTGGTACTAGTACAGTATCCTTGGTCCTTGGTCCTGAATGGACGGCCGTGGGACAGATGGTGATGATGTGTGATGATGGGCGCTGTGTGGGTGGCAGCTGTTGGATGAAGATTTAATCGCCCCTGAAGATTTAGACACAACTTTCAAGTGGATTTAACACATTGAGAAGGCGGATTTAATGCAGGCAGTCCCACCTTCCACAGAAACGTCACTGTTGGAGGCAAATTATTGATGGCTAAGCCTCATGCATGTGCAACAGTTAACAAATTGGACGACGAGGTCGAGGTCCTGGTTGTACCTGTAGGCTAGTGTAGCAGCCAACGTTGCCAAAACAAACCTTTCCCTCTTCCCCTGGACGATCCTTTCAATTCAACAGTACCAGTATAGTATCATAAAATGGATTGGACCAGTGTTTTCGAAGAGGACGGAGACGAAGCTTTCTTGATTTCCCAGCAACTCATGGCCATCCCACAGGCTCCTCGTTTGGCTCGACTCGTCAGCAAGCTCTACCATCATCAACATTCCGATGATGATGAAGAGGAACACGTTCATAGAGTCAGTCACGATGATGGCAATTTTATAGACGAAGATATCAGCGAGCATCGGCTGTTCCATTTATCCTCAAGATCATCCAATGGAAACATCCTGGAGGCTGAAAACACTACTACTAGTACTTCGTCTGCCTACAACCTTCGAGTTCTGTACTATCTCTCCATCAATTACATTCTGGGAGTGGGTTGTCTAGGGGTACCCTACGCATTTGCCAGAGCCGGATTCCTGTTATGTATCAGTATTCTCAGCATTGTAACCCTGTCTTCGTATATGACAGTCATGTGGGTAGCAGAGTCTGGCGAACGATATCATTCCCTCCAACAACAACGCCAGCAACTCCAACATGTATCCGCAGATGAGACTTCTCACAAAGGCAATTCCAGAACAGCATCCGAAACGTCACCATTGGTTCCTGGAAACGGCAACAACAATAATCATGACCATCATCATCATCATCATCATCAAAGCTGGGATCGATATGAAGTGGTGGATTTGGTGGGCTTCTTCTTGGGCCCAATACACAAAATATTATACCAAGCATCCCTCATGGCACTCATGTACATTGGACTCCTGGCTTACTCCCAGGTCTTTTGCAGTGCCATTGCCGAACTATTCTTGTGGGGACCATCCTCTGGTCGCCAATCCATTGCCGGGCTGCCACAGCTAATCTTTGGTTTGATGGTGGTGCCATTATCGTGTGTCGAGTTGGACGAACAGATTAGTTTGCAATCCATCATGGCAGCCGTACGATTCTTGGCCATTTTCATCATGGTATTTGGGTCTCTCCTGGCATTGTTTCTAGACAATTCCAATACTACAGATCCGGAGGACGACGGCAGCGGGCCTCCCTATTGGGCACCACCCGAACGAGAAGGGTGTCAGATGAGCTACACAGCTTGCGTCTCGGGATTTGGCGTGGCATTTTCCACTTCACTCTTCTCCCAATTATTCCAACATTCCGTGCCTGGTCTCTTGAGGCCTCTACGAGATCAACCCTCCAAACACAGCAAGGTGCCGGTAAGTAACGTCAGTGGTCCGATTTGGTACCGTATGCTGTCTGTACCTCACTTTCCTTTCGCTCTTGCGTCGGCAGAGAACATTTGGGGCCTCTTTGCTGACAACACTCTCTTTCTACTTGCTCTTGGGCATATCTGCAGCCTCCTTCTTTGGCGCCAATACTCGTTCGTCCGTCAACTTGAACTTTGCCAACTTTACCATGGGCCTGGACGCCGAGACAGCGCCACTTTGGCTCTTGCTGGTAGTCCGGACGGCTGCAAGTGTTGTAGTCATCTTTCCGGCGTTGGATACCATCAGTGTCTTTCCCCTCATTGCCAATACGCTGGGGAACAACCTATCAGCTGCTGCTGTGGGACCGGCTACCATCCGATGGGTTGCGGATATGCTGCAAAAGCAGCAGTCTGTGTGGCAACGCATTGTCACTAGACAACCATTCACAGCGGAAACAGCAAGTCATCCGCAAACCTCGAACAGGGTCAGCTTTAGCCAAGGCTCTCCAGAGGAACGCAAAGTGTTGATTGGACGCTCATCCAGATTGATCACAATCTTTTGGAGATTGGTGGCGGCACTTCCCCCACTGTTGGGGTCCATTGTAGCTGCAGACCTATCCTTTAGTCTGCTCTTGGCTGGTGTAGCGGGTGTCTATGTTGCCTTTTTTGCTCCCTCCTTGATGCAGTTAAAGAGTGTATTCCAGGCTCGGGCAGATGACACCGCTGGCACGGGCTCGCAGACAATCTTCCAGGGTTGGTACTCTTCCACCTTTCTTTGCTATCCAGTCCTAGTGTTTGCCACATTTTCGCTGTTAGCGGTACTACTCCAGATCAAAGGAGCATGGTTAGAAATGCAGCACTAGCTACGGTAGTGGCGAGAGTCATAAGAGCTTTTGATGGCAACTATCTTGGTCTACTCATGCCTCTTGGCTAGCAAATAAATTACACCGGATTGATCGTTTTAGACACAGTGCTGTCGGCAGAAACTTACGCAATCGGTTTGCATTACAGATATCACAACCAACGAGAGGTCTTATTACGAAAAGGCCAGCAAAACATCATCTTTTAGAGTTCCGCCGGCGCAAGCAGCTGCGTTTCGGTAGAAATGGATCCGTCTTACACGGACAATCGAGGTAACGAAGTAACTAAACCAATACATATATGGTAAGAATAAATTTCTGTAACTTCATTTCCTATGTATCTTGTTGTATGCTATGATTGCTTTGATGATGTGTGTTCTTTATTGTTTGGACGCAAAAACTCCCCTTGTCTTGAGTGATCTTCTCAAGCTTTTGGAACCACCGGCTTCATGGAGTAAAAGTCAGGATCAATCTGTACATTCTTGGACCTGGTCTTGCGCCTGTCGGTGCCCTTGGGGAGACCCACACGGCGCATCAACATGCACATGTTGGGCCTACCATGAAGGAAGAGCTCATGGTAGTAGGCACCAGCATCTCTGTTGCCACTGCCAACCTTCTTGAATCCATACAAGTTAAGCTGCCTCTGGAAGCTGCTCAGTTGGCTCATCTTGAAGTACTGTGGCATGATATCTTCCACAAAACGGTCGGGCTTGTGGATGGCGATGGCTCTTCCATGAGGTAGAAAGGAAATCACATCACCATTTCCATCATCCGCAATCTCCTTGAGGAGACGGTGGAGTCGTTCGGGGAAGGGCTCAGTGACTCCTCCACGGGTCTTCTTGACTCGAGTATCAGTCGGATCAGGATCGGCTGCATCAGCCACATCAATGTAAGGAGCGGACTTCTGGCGCAAGGAAGAACCAAGCTCCTTCAAAGCGTCCTGAGGTCCTGGAGCCACTTGGGGAACAAAACTTCGTTGAAAGAAACCCAAAAGGGAGCCGTTTTGGTGGTTCCTTTGAAAGGAGTGTTCAAGAGAACGCTGGCGAATAGCGGCTGCAGCTGCCGCTTTCTCATGTTCGACCATCATTCGCTTCTCAGCCGCCGCAGCCAAGAAAAGGTTCTGGGAACTGATCCCCAAGGCAGCACTGGGACGCATCATTGTGCTTGACCTCATGGATACTGGATTAACACCAACCGAGGAAAGCGAGGAGCTGTGCTGAAGGGAAGGAGGTACAACGGAGGAAAGAGAAGAGTTGTGCTGAAGCGTCGGTGGTATGGCCGACGAAATCGACGATCCACGCTGGAGAGCAGGTGCAGAGGGAAACGCCATTGCGGCCATCCCACCTCCAAAACCGTGGTGGTTCTGGTCCACAGCCAGTCGACGAGATAAATGCGAGGGAGGATGCACAGGCTGAAGGTTGATACAGTTAGGTCCGGGTTCATTGGATACCTCACTCAAGACATCCTGCAAACTTTGTCGCAAAAGCAGTGAGAGCGAGCGATCGTGGTTGATAGCAGCGAAGTCCATGGTTGCAAGATCTTTGATGTGTGGTTTGATGTGTCTTTTGATGTGTGTTGGCTGGAAGGAGCTTCTGAAAGCTTCGGCTATCGATTTTATGACAGGCGGTGTCGATCTCCACTCTCTACTTTCTGTGGTTTGGAAGGGTCATCGGAAATGGAGAAAACCGGGCGAAGATCGAGCTCGTGGCGGAACGCACGAGGGGCTATTAAAATACCGGTACATGTTGTACTCGAGTACCGTACCCACACATACCGGTACCGGTACTCATTGACAGTCGTGAAGAAACCATCCGAAGTCCAGAAACTACCATTCGGGGCCACGTCAGTATTGTTTCTTTTTGTGCCGCACCTGCTGAGGTGGCGGTATGCTAGTAGATGTATGTGGTAGCATTGGCCACTGACCGTCATCTTACATCGGGTTACCTTGAGTAGCCACTAGCTAGCTAGGTAGTGGATCTAGCTTGCAGCTGCCAGCTAGCTAGTAGCCAGTATTACAACGAGGCAATGAACATTTTCATCAGTGGTTTAATTGTGTTAGGCACCAGGCACGTTCTCTCGCCTAATGCTGCAGTTTTGTACAAAGGGACACGACCGCCCCTCCAACCCCAAGAAGCTTGGACAGAAGGCAAAATCTTCTTTTGGAACTGACAGCTGCAGATGGTTTTCTTTTCTCTCCGCTCTTCTCGCCTCTCCAAATAAATAACTAGGAACAGGGAACCCAGGAACTTGCATGAGAAGGCAATTGGCTCTGAAGTAATACCGGTGGCAGCGCACCAGATGTCGCCAATTGCTACAAAAACATCATACTCAGAGTAGATCTAGTCTACATACTAGTACTACAGCTATTACACACAACACACAGCTGCTCCACCCTAGCTTCCACCCTCCAAGCAGTCAGGGGTCGAGCAAAGCTGCCTTCCTAGGATTTATCATCGAGCCATCCTTGACACCGGCCAAGATTCTTGCCTTCAAAGTTCAAAGCAATTATTTGTGTATTCTTGGTCATTCGAAGGGGCAGGGGAAGGAAAGATCTCAAAGTAGGATTTTATTTAACACGGACTGCCTCTTTTTCTGTCTCAAAAGGCATACTCGAAGTAGGCAAGAAACCGAGAGAAAGACCAAAGAGCTCCTCATATGCATTGCTACTGGGTACACTGGTACCGGTACTATCTCACGTAAGAACATGGGGGATCATTAGAACATTGGAACAGCGTGGTCCAGGAAAGAAATAGAGGATTTAAAGCCATACAAGATGGTCATTTTTTGTGCCACATCAGAGAAGTATTTATTTAATGCTTGTCAGAAATTGACGCGCACTTTCTTGCTGTTTACTGGACTGTAAAAGGAGAACACTTCTAACTGGCTTTCTAGTGGCCAAAAACCTCCAATTCCAGGACGGGAAATCTTTGTTTGGTTGATGGCGATGACCACTTGCTGCTGGCCAGAGCTTGATGCTCCTGGTGCCGTATGGCTCCAGTGCCAGTGGCCATATCTCTGCTCTAGCTAGCTGGCAAGTGGCAGTAGTCACTTGCCTGCAGCTGAAATAACCAGCTTGGCCATCATGCTGAGATGGCTGGAGCTGATTGGGTGGGGCGGTTTAAAAAAATGGCCCTCCAGGCTCTGGCAGCCGGCTAGCTAGCTGTCGTTGTTATCGGTAATGAACAGCCGGCGCAATGTTGTTTTCGTCATATCGCCTCTTTCTTCTGGCTAGCTGTCGTTGTTATCGGTAATAAACAGCCGGCGCAGTGTTGTTTTCGTCATTTCGTCTCTTTCTTCTAGCTTTTGGCTCGTTCGTGGTCCTCTACAAGCTAGCTACCGTTGTCGCCGGTAACGAACAGCCGGCGCAGTGTTGTGTCGTCTCTTTCTTCTAGTACAGTACTTGCCAGCTGTGGCAGCTAGCTACGATGTAGCCCTTAGCTCAAGGGGACGGAGAAGCGGTCAACGTTTCTTTTAAAATGTGACTAAACAGAGACTACAGTTGTTATGAAAATTAGTGTTGTTACCTCTCTTGTTTTTTAAAAAGTTTTAGTTAGTACATGTAGTTTTAGAAGTGTTGCATATGTAAATGTGGCTAAATCATGTATAGAATCTCCCTCCGTCGTCCTGTGTGGTTGCGTCAAGCATGTTGCTTGGCTGCCTAAGCGAGAAAGGCCCTGTGTGCAACCGCGGGCTTCATAGAGTAAAAGTCAGGGTCGATCTGAACATTCTTTGACCTCATCTTCCTGCGATCGTCCCCTTTGGGAAGTCCGACCCTCCTCATCAACATGGACATGTTAGGTCGGCCTTGGAGGAAGAGCTCGTGGTAGTAGGCGCCGCCATCACGGCCACTCTGGACTCGCTTGAAGCCATAGAGGTTCAGCTGCCTTTGAAAGCTGCTGAGGGACTTCTGCTTGAAGTATTGAGGCATGATATCGGAGATGAAGCGGTCAGGCTTATGGATGGCAAAGGCTCTACCATGGGGCAGGAAGGAGATGACGTCTCCATTTCCATCCTTCGCGATCTCCATGAGAAGACGATGGAGACGTTCAGGGAAAGGCTCTGTAACTCCTCCACGGGTCTTCTTGACTCGAGAATCCGAGGGATCAGGGTCAGCGGCATCAACAACATCAACATAGGGAGAAGACTTCTGACGCAAGGAAGAGCCGAGCTCCTTGAGTGCATCCTTTGGTGGCTGCATCATCACTTGAGGAGCCGCTTTCAACTTCATGGAAGAAGCAAAGACTTGTGGGATCGAAGTAGGATAGGCGCATGCGCCCTTGTGGAAGAGGGAAAGCAAGGAACGATTTTGCATCTGTTGACGCTCGTGAATGGCGTTCTGGAGAGCTCTCTGACGAGCTGCAGCCGCAACCCGAGCTCGATCCAAATCGGCCATGAACTTCTTTTCCTCCATCATTCGTTTCTCTCTTTCGGCGGCCATAATCAGCTGCTCGCTGCTGATTCCCAATGCAGCACTGGGACGAACATGGGTGGACGGCATGGTCAAGCTTCTTCTCGAAGAGTGGGGAAGCAAGCTGAAAGACGGCAAGGCAAGAGAGGGTTGCACAGCAACAGGAGGTGAAGGGGCAACTGCTGGCGGGACCATAACGTGGTCAATGTTGTCAAGCTCAGACAGCACATCGGCAAGACTGTTGCGAAGACTGGTTTGAAGCAAAGCGTTGTTGGACATGGTGGGTGTTCGAGCTTTACTAAGAAGATGTTTGAGAGGGAAAGTGCTTTCTGGTAAGCGAGAATTCTGAATTGTGCGAGAAGAGAGACCGAGGAGGTCAGAAACATCCGCCCTCCCAGAATTCGGTTTTGGTGTCGACGAAGCAGGGTTCCCTTTTGGGTCATAGGGTCATCCAAGATGTCATAAATCCTAGGAATCGGAAGCGATGACCTTTTTGACTATTATATTCTTGACTACTGAAAAACTACTGAAGCTGGTACTGGTATCATCGGAAGGCGCGCCACCAGTGCGCCACCTCACTTTGGTGTTCTAATCGGAATTGCGTGAAGAAGCTTTCTTCGTCCGGTATCAATTGTACGGAAGCAAACGAAGACCACCAAGATGGAGGGAGGACCAAAGATACCCCCTGTAGGTTTTATACGATGGTTTTGTACCGTGTATGCAAGATTGGGCTCGGTTGAAGTTGGATGATGGCCAGACATAGGGGATCGGAAAGTAGTGGCTCTTGATCAGATCTCAATTAAGGGAATTTTGGGAGAGCCTGTGGCAAGTAGCGGGAGACGAAGTCCGGATGGCCATCAAGGGTTCCTGAGATCCTGAGATGTGCAAATAAATAAAGAGGGAGAGCTTTGAAGGGTGTGATACTGGACTGGCTTAGCTTCTACCACTCTGAGTGGCTACTACGGAGTAATCACTACAGCTCTCAGTACTCAGTAGGTCAATAGACTCTCAATAGTGCTCTTCTGCCCATAAACCAATGGAAGAAGCAAGAAAGTCAGAAAGTCCTTTCTTTCTCAGAAATGAAGAGGCAGTAGTCCCCACCTTCTGCTATCAAGGATTGGCGTTCTTGTGAGATCTCAGCATCCAAAAGGAGTAGTGAAGTGTGCGTCCGACTTTAACTATCCAATACGAAGTCGCGCTTTGAACAAGAAGAGCGGCTGGACCAGTCCACACGTCCACACTACTAGCTAGCTAGCACACATACCACACGGAAAAAGATTGCTTTGGCAGCCTATTCGGGGTTGTCCAAATCTCTGATCTATTCGGGGTCGTCAAAAGTAGTTTCCATCAGAGCATGTGGAATGTGGATTGACACCTTTTCACCTACAAATTCCTCAACCAAAAGAGAAATTTGTTTTTGGTTTTCTAAAGATGAAAAGTATACTAGTACGTACCTACCTCGAGAAATGAGATTGAGAAGGCTCGAATGGATCTTCATATTCGTTTTCAGTTGTTAGTATCCAAAGGCGACGATAGTGAGCGAGAGCTGGCAACTCTTCCGTTTAGGCGTTCATCTGCACAGGTTTTGAGAGCTTTCTTTGTTGTTGGAAGAGTACCAGGTAGCTGGCTGCTACTGTCGGTGGTACAAGGAAGTTTTCTCGGTTTTAGCTAGTCCCGATTCTTCAAAATTTGCATCCATTGCAAGCTCCCAACAAGCAGCCAACCAGGATCAGTAGGCCAGATTCTGGATTCGATTGGGCTGAAGTGGTGGTCATAGTACCGTACAGTAGCATGGTCTTTCTGCGAACCCTAGTGTCAAGCATGTAGTAGCAACCGGTACCGTAGCAGATTCGATTCATTAGAAACCAAGCTCAGTTTTCTAACAGAAGTCAGAGATCCGGAGCTGGAGCTCGCTCTGTGTACATTTGAGTTGAAGCCAAGCAACTGCTGGCACTGTCTAGCTGCCGGTGGTCGGGAATAGGCCCACACTTTTTAAAGAAGTGTTGCCTAAAATTTATGAAGCTTCGTTGAGATCTTTCTGTCGTGGTCATGGCAACCAAGAAGCAAAGCGAGTCCCCAGCTTGTCTCTCCACTGCCATGGAACCCAGCCTTAAGCTACTAGCTAGCTAGTAGCTGCGAACTACGAAGCCCGCCTCGTTCAAGAAAGCAAGAGCAACAACAATGCGTGTGAGCGCTTGGCTGGCGCTCGGTCACACTTCGGAGAAAAGCAATCATTCCCATATGTACCGTACGTGGTCCTGTGTCTGTTCTCCATCCACACAAATAAATGATCAGCAGCGAAAAAGAAGTTCAACGCACGATACGACCTCCCTCGCAGGGCAAGGATGAGAATCAGTCGTTGCCCATCGCCAAGCTTCCAAGTACACAGTCGTATCAAATGAATGAGTTCCACCGCCTCGTCTTAATAAGCGCGATAGAGCCTGCAGGCCATACTCTAGTAATCTGTATAGCTAAAGATTTCTAGCCAGTAACGGATAAGCCTCAACTCTAATGAAGGTATCCTGTCAGCGTGGAGCCACTCGATCGTCTCATTCACTCCACAAACTTTTGAATCGATCGAAAAAAGAGGCAACAATGGCGCTTTCCTCCTCTTTCGGCCACTAGCCAGCCTCTCTCCGTTACCTCATGTGCATCCTCTCATTGACTATCCTATGGCGCCGCTTTGGTGGTGAAATATTGAGGGCTTTCAGAGAAGAAAGAAGAAGAAGAGGTCGATTCAGTGCTCCGATTCACTCGCAAGATCTGGCTCTCACTCTCCGCCTCCACTCTCCGGCTCTCCACTCTCCTCCCAGCCTCCATTCACTGACTCAAGATGGACATCAAACGGACTGGTGACAGCCACTTGTTTTCTTTCTACCACCTTGACTTGAGTATCGATGAGGAGACCAAGCCAAAGCCTTCGCCTGCCACAACCAGAGCCATGGCTTCATTGCTGTCGAACCTGAATATGCTAGTGGAAGTGTGGATGAAGACTGCACTTTCCTGGAGATTCAAGAAGAACCAGTATCTGACTGTTGAGCAGGCAGGAAGGTTGGTACTCATCTGTCAGAGAAGGTGCTGACAAGGATTCCAGACTTGTCAGCTTTGGATTCTCACCCCTTTCAGGAAGAGAGCTTGTTATGAAAACTGACAGGGCATTGAGATTGTGTTCATTTTCCTGCTGGCCAGGGCCGCTTTGTTGAGCCAACAGGCCCAGGAGCAGATCCAGGAGCAGAGTGGTTGTGGTGGCTGAACTTGTCTTACTCCGGTTGAGTGGCTCCAGTGAAGCCTCCTCTGCCTTGAAGAAGCCTCCACCTATGTCTATTGCAGTCAAGCCTGTCCCTGCTGCTGTTGTTCCTGTCAAGAAAAGAAACCACACACAACAACAACGACGAGAAAGCAGTGGCACCTTGGAACCTTGGGATGAAAGGAAGGAAGAGCTGATTTGGTGGAGTTGGTGGATTTGATTGGAAATCAGCAGATCAGCACTGGTCCACTGATACTGAGTACACCTATGAGATGTGGAGGATGAAGATTGAATATGCAATCCACAACAACAAACCTATCGGTGACAACCAACAAGGCAAATGGCAACAATCATAAGGAGGTATGCTCCCACCAACAGCATAGCAGTGTAGTACCAAAATAATATACTCTTTCTATCTATTGACTTGACTTGACCTCCCTCGTCTAGCTAGCTAGCCGCATTGTAGTGTGTATGTATTGCTTGCCCATGGTATGACTGTGACAGCTACTGGTTCTACTTCCTAGTCAAGAGCTAGCAAATCTAGTAGACACAGTAGCTGTCACTGTCATACCATGATGGCACGGGCAACCTTGGCTTTGGCTTCTAGCTTGGCTACATCGAGTCATTGGCTTCACACGTAACAACTACAAGCAAACTATACTAGCTACCCTACTTGAGTACCTGTGGTTGTAGTATCAAATCAATAGTACTATAGAGTGTTAAAAGGCTACGATGAAATAAGCATGAGCGCCGATAATCTACTTGCTGTTCGAGTCATCTTCATCGCTATCCTCGTCCTCCTCGTCATCGCTATCCTCGTCCTCCTCGTCATCATCAGTAGTGTCGACATTGGTCAAGTCAACGGCATCAATCTTGCGAGGGCGGGTGAGGCATTTCCATAACCTCATCATCATCTCCGAGCCAGAATCAGAGCTTGAGGCCTCACCAGGCCGATGAAGGATGCAAAGCGTTTGAAGGGCTTGTTGACTCCTTCTTGCTGCCGTCATCTTGCTTGTCCTTCTTGCTGCCGTCACCGCTTGTCCTTCTTCGCCGCCATCCTTCTGATCATTCTTGGCCACTGCCTTGATACGAAGAACAGTGTCTTCAGTATCGCCTGAAGCTCTGATTCGAACCACCAGTGTTTGGCCCTCAGCAGAACTGGCATGGGAATCAATGGGCCCTGCACCCAACGCTCCTCCTCGGGCTCCTTCTTGTTCTTGGCGTTGAAGGCTTCGATCTGTTCCTTAATCATGGCCACCAAGTCATCGGGAGGGGTTTCGCTAGCGTCACGGAAGGCAGAGGGGGCGGTTGCGATTTCTTCCGGTGGGAGGATTGAACCCTCAAGAACATGATACAGTCGCCTTCCCCGTCGTGGACGAAGGTTTGAACCAGACGTTGCGCATGCTCTTCCAACTGGCCCCCTGATGTCACAACAGCATTGACCCACCACCCATGCTGAGCAAGAAGGGCGATGCTATGCATGTTGAAACACTGGACCGTGATGGCTTCAACATCGTCAGAAGGGTCCTTGTCTGGAAGCTGGTACCAGGGAAGGACGGGTGGTTAAGCCGGGAGGCCAAGATACTTCTTGTTGAATGCTTGGTGGCAGACCAACGAAGGCATCACAATGGTGACAGCGTAGAGAACCTTCCCATTCTCGTCGTGTACAGCACTCGGGAATGCCAAGCAGCGGCATCAACTTGGTGATGCATGTTCATGGCTCCCTTGATTCGGTAGTTGGATGCTCGAACTCAGCGAATTAGGGTCGGTCTCCACTGCGCTTGGGAAGAGATCGCTGGTGGTGTCGGTTGGCGGCAGCGGCTGGGCGGGAGAGGATCAGCCATGGTGGATCGGTCTTGGTGGCAGACGCTTGGTGGAAGAGGGATCGGCATGGTGGTGTCGGTCTTGGCGGCAAGGCTGGGCGGGAGAGGGATAGCCATGGTGGAATCGGTCTTGGCAGCTTGGTGGAAGAGGATCGGCCATGGTGGAATCGATGGAAAAGAGGTAGACTTGAAAGGTCAAAGACTGAAGGGAAGCGTTGGTGTTCATGGTAGCTTGGAGAGAAGGATCGAAGAGAGAAAAGTGCAGAGCTTCGACTGTTGCTAGTGGATTGTAAAATAATGAGCTGGAGAATGAAGAAACGAAAGAGGATAGGAGAGGCTTCGGATTGAGTTTGTGCGTTGAGCCGTAGTCATCGATCCCATGATTGTCGCCTATAGTCAAGAGATCCAAATATCGATCCCGTGATTGCTGTCAATAGATAAGCATGCGTCTCTGAATTTTTGGATGATACTCAAGAGCAAAGTATCGATCCAAATGTCGATCCGTGATTTGCTGTCGATAGATAAAGAGCGTTGATGGCTCTGAGACATTCCGATTGCATGATTCTCCGATTGGTTTGCCGCTACTCAAGAGCCAAACTATCGATCAGTGCATGCGTCTCCGACGGTGATTGGATGATACTCAAGCCCAAAAGAGTGCTCTTTCTATGATCGATGGCAATCTTGCCGGAACGATTTAAACAACCAAAGCCATCAATATGTCATTCCCTTTTCTTTGATATGCAAAGTATAGAAGCGTTGCATGTTGTAGCACGCACGAGTTACATCTTTCTCTTAGCTTGTCTAACACAAACTGTTGGCTCTTGTTGTTTGGATACATGTGCGATGCATGCATCAGTATTCCGAATGACGGCGGGAATGGGTTCTTTCAGTCCAGTTTGTTAAATCTTCTAATAGTGGTGCTTTAAGTTAAGACGTTCCAACAAGAGACAACTCCAACCGACAGATCTGTTCCAAGATGTTCGACAGACGCCGATAGATAGATAGAGAGATTCCTCACTCCTCGATTGATGGCACCACATGCACACACAGTCAGCCATGCCACTCCTCTTCTCAAAGCAATCAACCACCATGGCCGAATTCGCCTTCCGTTCAGGTATGCGGCCGTCTACTTGCTCTTTGGAGGAGCTTTCTTGGTTGCTGCTCTCTTCTTCTTTGTTGCTGTCTTTCCTTTTGTCGGATTCTTGCGTTTCGTGGTCTTCTTCTTCGGATCGGCTGCCTTTCGGCTGCTCTGGTTGCGTCTTCCAGCCTCTTCTGTGCTTTCTCAATGGCTTCTTCCTGCTCTCTTTCTTCCTCCTCTTGACCAGTGCCTGCAACCTTCTAGCTTCCTCCGGTGACATGTGTTTCTGTGCAAGATCCAACAATGATGGTATGTTGACCTGGAGTGGTGAAGAGCCAGGATTGATTCAATCTGCTGCCTCCTCGATCTGCCTTCATCTCACTCTGTCGCACTTCCTCTTCACCCTTCTTCCTCGTAGGCCTCTTCTTCTCCATGTCAGCTTGTGCTGCCTTTACTCTCTCATCATTTTCAATTGCGTGTGCCTTTGAATGTTGTTGTCTTCTTCACGAAGTCGCGGACTGCTTTGAGCCGAACGTCATGCCGTTTCCCATCTTGATGGCCCTCTCGATTGGCTCCTCTGTGTGGCTCTTGAGTCCTCGGAATCGGCGCAAGTGTTCAAGGAAATGGGCCCATGTATGGACTTTCATGGTCACGGTTGGCATCAGGTTCATCCAGAGCTCCACTGCGTCCCGGACAATCCTGTCGGCATCATCAAGATCTCCATCCGTCAAGCTGCCGTATGGTTGGTACGCATAGTGGGCCATGACATCCATGTACTGAAGGAGTCTTGCAAACGCCAAAAGGAAGACATCAATCTCCTCTTCATCGGCTCTCTTGGCTCTCTCCTCTTCAGGAAGTGCACTCAAGTATTCCATCGCCACTATCTTCACATCGGCCATTATCTCGGTGGCGTGTCTCATTAGCCTCCGACACTCGTTGCCTTCCATATTACCTCCATGATACGAGGACGCCTTCACGTTGTAATTTTTCCTGAGTGTCTTCTCAATGGTAAGCCACAAGTCTTCAGTTTGCTTTCCGTACTCCTTCTGTTTTTGCATTTTGGTAAGCTTGCTGCTCAAAGTCCTCAATGTTGATTTTGCTTCGTCGTGTTTCTCCTTTGCTGCCTCCAGATCCTTCCTGGTCTGTGGTGCAGCTCCTTGCAGAAGAAGAATTGCTCCTGTTCATCGTCATCTTCAAAGGCTCACCTCTACCAAGATACTCAAGGTCTTCTTCCATTCCTTTGAGTTGCTCCTCCAAATCCAATGTCGTCTGCTTCGTTTCTTCGACCAGTCGCTCGAATGCGGTCTTCTTGTCTCGAGCCAGCAGCAGCTCAAGAGGGATTGATTGGATTCGGTGGCTGAGAAACTTTTGGAAGTGATCGAACACATTGTTCGCATGCAAGACTATTCCGTGGAGAGGGCAGAAAATGAAGTTGCTTGGCTCTATATCCAGCAAGGGGGCATGGACTATGCCGTTGGCTTCGTCTGCATCATTCCTCTTCAACTTGCCACACTCCAGCAACTCTAAGTGTTCCTTCATCTTTGCAAGAGTCCATGGTTCCACAATATCAAGCGGGTGGTATTTTCCTCCCTGTTGAAACCTGTGCCGCCTGCTTTTGCACCAAGGACAGTGGCAGGTCGACATGCCAGGCTTTCCAAGGGCTTCCGACACCCACTTCAAGTCGCCTTGGCCCAAGATAATCAAGTGAAGGATTCCGAGAGTCGCTATGGCTTTGATTGCTCCGTTGATATTTGAGATGACTTTGCTGGCGTCCAAGACTTCTCGGCTGTCCTTTCTACAGTCAACATGACCTACCAAGTGGTCGACTTCATCGATGACCTTGCCGCCTCCAATGAACCGGAGACCAAGAGTCACTCTCATGGCCCCTTGCCCATGGTCGGCTGTTATCATGGCATGCATCTCGTCTTCTTGAAGCGACTCTCTCTTCTGCTTCTCTTCGGCGACTACATCTTGGCATGGAAGACACCAAGCATTGCGCTTTACACCGTCCTCTTCAAATTCTGTGAAGATTGGGGAGATGTTTGGCGTTGCCTCAAGTGCGCGGATAGCTCTCTCTGACTGAAAAGGATTACATTTCTCTGCATTGAGGTAAGGTCTTATGGTGCGCATTGTTTCATATGTGAGGTTGGCTTTCCTCATCATCGACATCTGAAGGTATGGATCCATCTTCTTCTGTCTAAATTCCAGCGTAGTTCGGCAGACGTCGTGGAATGATTGCTCGTGATGGTATCGAGCAAGCTTGATCAAGGCAAAGCCGGCATCATCGCCAGCCATGTCGCTGCCTATGGACGCTTCAAGGAGTCGAGGGTACCACTGCTTCCCATTGTGCAAGAACGTCTTGAGGTTGTTGGAAGGAATGATTGCAACAAGTCGACGGCCATGGCCTTTGCCTGCTCCCCACCATACTTGGGAAGCTGAAACAGGCCAGCCATCCATCTGTGTCATTTTCGATCTTCAGTGCTATCTGGACAACACTCTGGATAGCTCTCTTGTTTGGTGGGAGACAGAACTTATTAAGAGCAGGTTCGTGCCTGCTGCAGTCTACTTGTGCTAATGGATTTTCTTTATCTAACATCTCGTAATGCTCCTTATGCTTTTCTTTCTGCAGTTCGATACCCCGCCGCCGGATCGGTCTCTGAGTGTGTCGAGGACATCATTTTCTTCCTTCTCAATAAAGAAGTCAGGGCTATTGAGGAACTCTGGGTTCACAAGTCCATCAAAGATGGCAAAGAGATCGCTGTTTGATGGATCTCCCAAGATGGATTCCGGTTTCTTCTTCCGTCTCCTCGCTCGGTTCGGTTATCGTTCTCGTCCGTATCGAAGTTGGTTGGTCACAGTCCTAGGCTGCTGCTGTGTGGGTCTCTGTGTGTCGCAGTTGTGGTTGTTATGTCAGTGCATTGGGGCGGTTGTTGTGTTGTTCTTTCTTCTCTTCGGTCTCACTACCTCACGAACCTCATGCAGCCTCATCACACGGTCTGCCGGTTGGCCCAGGTGTTGTATTGCCTCTGGAAGTATGCATTCTCTGCTTTTCGGTTGGCGGCGGCTTCGTTGATCGGTTTGTCCTTCTGTTCCCTGTCTCCACACAAATGAAGAAGACCTTCTTCCTCATCACTGACTAAATTGACTGTCTCCTCTGTGAGATCTTTCTATGCTCCAGCTTGATCTTGGTGATAGGTGAGTACTTGGCTCTGTCTTCATCACATGCATCCAATTCGCGGTTGAGATATTGCACTTCGACTCTAACATAGTCTTCTTCAGAGCTCCATCTCCATTGCCATGTCCAGCTTCTGATTCACACGTTGAGCCAATACTTGAGAGGTATGAAAAAGCCATGCATACTGCATTCCGCTTCAGCATGGGAATGAGGGCCTCCCGATCCGTTGTCATTCTCTGTCCTAGGCATTCTGGCTATGCTACTGTCGACAAGCCTAACAAAGTGTTGCCCGTTTTGGATCCAGTTCAAGCAGAGGCTCAGGGACCATGCGATGGATGTGCAGAGTTCCCTTTGGTATGATGTTGCATTGCCTCTGGTCGACTCCATGGCTGTTGATGGGGGTGGAGGTACCTTTTCAATTGGTTTGCCTCGATCCACAACGACCTTCACATCTAAACTTCACCCATAAACTCGAAAGATGTGAGACAAATGTGCCCGGGTGACATGTTTTTACTATACAAATTATCAACTAACAAAGTTTCCCGCGTTTGCGCGCTTTTACACGAGGCAGACTGACGATTCGACTGTGAGTACCTATTGTCCGCTGACGCAGCCACGCAATTGCTTCCATTGGGACCTTTGCCACCACCATGATGTCTGCTCCGGTTCGAAGAAACCGAAGATCGAACAAGAATCGCAATCGCCGCTTTCATTTCAGTCCGATGGTATAACACCTAGGAAAGCTCATTTGAAGCGGGATGAGACGGTTGACGAAATCTACGAAAAGGCGCTGGTGCATCAACATGTTGTGGTCGGTTCTCCGCCATCGTCGGGAAAGACTTCGCTGTTACAGCTCTTGAAACTCAAGTTGAGAGGACTCGCTAACGATCCAACGCCAGCGAGAATCAACATGACCTCCGACAGATCGGTCGAGGAACTCATGGACGACCTAAGAGATTATGGAATCACAAAGAAGGTGAAGGATCTAGAAAAAGTTAAAAACACCTGGATACTTATCGACGATGCGCAAAATGCATTTGACGAGAAGTTCAATCCTTTTTGGGAGTTTCTGGTAAAGCATGTCGCTTCCGTCGACGAACTCAAAGAGGAGTTGATAGTGGTGATTGCTTCAACGTACGATCTAAACACACCAAAGTCTCCAGTGAACTTTGCCGACCTCCACCACATCGAACCTAACGCAACAGAGGCCGAGGCCCGGGAGCTTTTTAACATATGTGCGGAGGATATAAACTGCCGGCATATGAGCCGTTTCTGCGAGACTCTCATCGACATCAGCAGACTTGCTAGTGAAGACAAATCAAGCTTGTCTCCGCCGGATCCTCCTCTCTACCACCTTGGGGTTATAATGGCGGGACTACGTGTGCTCAAGGACAACAAGAAAGATCAGCGTCTCCGGGTGCTGAGCGAGGACGATATGCTCCAAGAAATTCGTTGTTCGAACATGATGAATCATTTGAACCGCTGCTTCCCAGAGAGGCTCAATGATCTCGTCAAGCGTTCAGTGGAGTCGATCTCAGCCAGGCGCTTGCGTGATGCCGCCAAAGACGGATTTCCCAAAGAAGCCGCTTTCCAACATCTCTTCTGTGAAGCAATGTCCAAGCTTTTGCCAATCCAACATTCGGTCATTCCTGAATTGAACACATTTGCGAAGAATTCAGATTTAGATGTGGTAACAGGTGAATTGGACTTCTATATCAATGGTTCATTGAAGTGGGTTTTGGAATTGTTACGGAATGGGAATAAAATCGGGGAACATCTCCAGCGCTTTGACCCTGCACAAGGAAAGTACCGACAGGTTGACTTCAATGATTACCTTGTTGTTGACTGTCGTTCAGCGAGGCAAGGAGTTGTCCATGGAGCTGGAGCTGCAGATCGATGCACGTTGTTCTTTGCCGACGACTTCAAGACTTGCGTGTGCCAGATGCGGATGAAGGAGGAAATAGAGATAACTCTTAGTAACTAGCTTGTTGGGTTTTCTATTCTCTACGATTTGGAGTGAAAGAAGTAATTCTCCTTTTTAGAAAGTGATAGCGCTACTACGGTAGTATTCGATGGCAGCTACCAGTACGGGGGATCAAAGGCGGCATCGTTCAGTTCAGTGGCGAAACGAGCTTAGCTGCTGAAAAAGCTCTTTGAACGCAGACTACCGTCGCCTCTGACCTCCTTGTTGCCCAGGTTGCCGATTCTGTTTCAGTGTGCTCACCAGTTGAGCTCGCAGGCTGCTCATAACATTGCCATCGGCCTGAGCAGGTGGGGGGCGCTGTTGTTGTTGGTTGTTGGGAGGCCTTCCATTTGATCCTGGACGCCCCGAGGCCTGCTGCTGTGAGACTGCTTGGAAGTTGTACCCTTGTTGGCGTGGAGGCTGTTGGTTGTTCGCATGGCGCTGCTGGTGAGAAGGGTGCTGTGCCGCATTGTGGTTTCCTCTTTGTTGGTTTCCTCTCTGCTGATGATGATGACTACCCTGTTGCCTATATGGAGGTTGTTGTTGATGATGCTGTCCATATGGCGGGTGGGGCGCACGGTGCGTCGGAGGGTGGTGATGTCGCGGGTCTGGCTGAGGATGGTGGCCAGAATGAGGGTGTTGCTGCCAGTGGTTTTGTGGCGGCGGATTTTGCGGTCCCGGACCACGATTTTGCCAAGGTGGCCGATGCATGTGTTGTTGAGGCGGAGGAGGAGGGCGATGCTGTCCAGAGAATGGATGATGGTGTTGGTGTTGTTGAGGGCCGCCTTGAGGAATAACCCCCGCTCTGTGCCTTTTGGGCGCAGGCTCCATAGCACCCCATGCTCTGATTCCAGGCTTGTACATTTCATGTCCGCGGCCAGTCTTCTGGGCCAATTCGCGTTCATACGAACTTATGTTCATGCTACCATATCCAGATTGGTAACTCTGCCCGCCACCCCTGCCAGTGCCCAAATTTGCGATAGTACCACCGCCTCTGTTCAATTTCGGCCGGCGAATCACCAAGTCTTGGGAGGTAAGTTTCGATGGCAGAGGATTCGCTCCGGCAAGTAGAATGCTCTTGTGCGAATACTTCCTCGGCTCCGTAAAGGCAACACAAACCGCCTCGTTGGCCTCGATAGGTTCACTGAACATATTGTCGTGGCTGACACGTTCGATTTTTGATGCTGTGGACGGTAAGTCAACTCGCACGCATTCGCTGCCGTCGCCCGTTGGTTTGTAGATTTCGTTGCTCAAAGGGGGCCTCACCGACCCCGTAAAGCCGGCAAAACCATAAGACGCAGAGTCCGACAGACGTTCTTTTGACGAGGCAGCAGTCTTGTTGCCTTCGAGGGCCAACTTGGCCAACTTCTTTCCAAACGGGTGTCGCTGATACATATACAAGTATCCGTCGTCGAGTCCCCGAGCATTGCAGAGCAATTCGTCTTTTGCCCATTTTGCCATGGTCGGCCCCCTTGGAAAGTCAAAGAGTCCAACAATCGAAATTCATGTGAGATAAGGTAAAGAAACAAGGGTCATGCTAGAATTCTCCTCCATACTCACAGTGCAGCCAAAAGGCGTTCTTCGTCTATAAAGGGCAGGAGCACAACCCACAGCCACGGCATTGCTTTTCCGTTCGGGTCAACAGGGACATCAATAGGGTAGAAGTCCAGTATTGGGCTTTCTTCGTCCAACATCAGCCACCTCGCAGGTTTGGGGATGGCATGACACGAATCCGAGGGTAGCACAGCCATCAACTGCTCCACGGGGTTGAAAGGTGTACTCAACTCGAAGGAGTTACAGTCTTTGGAGAACCTTTCAATGTTTTTCAAATCCGAGGCAAACGGAGCATAATGGAAAGGGTAATACCATTTCCAGCTTGGACACCCATCGTAGTAATACTTCATAACCCAACAAAGACCCATCACATAGGAGCGAAACAAGTGCTCGCGGCCGCCATGTGCTGCCACGTCATCTGCTTTGCACTTGTCTGAATAGTAACGATCCTTCCAACCAGCTTCGTGGAGACGCACTTTGTCTTCGACGTTTTTGGAGAAATCGTCCAATTGATTTTGCTTTCGAGCCTTGACCTTTTCTTTGAAGCGTTTGGCAGCTTCAGGATCGACAGTTTTTTTAATAACAACCACAGGAGGCTCGACTTTGTCCTTCCCATCGTCGTCATTGTCATCGTCGGACGATTCAGCATCAAACAAATCAGAATCGTCGTCAACATCCATAACGGCCTCTTCTGATTTGCCCTCTTCTGATTTGCCCTCTTCCGATTTGACTGGGTCGTTGCCGTTTTCTTCGCTTTTGCTGACTTGGTCTATCGTTCTTTTGTCACCCGAGTGCTTTGGTTCTGCCTTTTCTTCCGATTCCTCCTCTTTTACGCTCGTTGTCGCATTGCTCTCAGAAGAATCTTCTTGCTTGACACCAGCTGCTGCTGCGGTACTAGTATTCGCCGCCTCTTCCTGCTTGACGTTTGTCGCTTCTGGGCTTGGTTGTTGTCCACTTTCTTCCTTTTTGATTTTGTCGGCATTCGCAGATTCCCCCTCGCTTTTGACCTCGACGCTGCTTTTCTCGCCTTCCGCAGAGGACGCTGTGCTAGGCTCCTTTTTGATTGGCTGTGTACCAGTCAAGGATTCTTTCAATGCCCGTGCAGCCTCCAGGTTGTCTTCCTTCAAGCGATGCGATGCCTTTTGCTTATGCCTATTGTCTTCCTTTGCCTGGTGATTTCGTTGCAAAGGAACAGAGTCCTTACGACCTCGTTGTTGCCTTTCTAATATCCGTGCTGCTCGACCCACGACTTTGCGCTCCGGTGGATTCATATGTCGCGGTGGTTCATCCGGCTTTAGCCCTGGCTGTTGCCTTTTGCGGTCGCGCATCTGCTGGCGACGGCGTTTCTCTTGTTCTTCATTATCATGCTTCATGGCAAAGACGTGATCCTCAATGGCGCCCACCTCTGCCAAGATGACGTCTACATGAGACAGATTTACTCTCCCTCCATGATTGGTGATGTAGTCCCCCAAAGTGGGCAACAGGCGTCTGTAGACGTTAAAGAGAAAGTCGAGAGCGCCCACGCGAATATCCAACGAGGGTAGGTGCTGCAGAAACATCAAGATTATAAACAGAAAAAGGCATCAATGTGAGAATTTGAACGACCAAGAACCTATGATAACACGTTAAGCTTTTCCTTTTGTTCTTACCGGCAAAAAGTCATTTCCCACAAAGAAGCACAGAAAGACAATATCATCAATCAATCGTTCCAGCGAGGGAGCAAAGGGCAGCCCAATGGGAGGTCCACCCCTTGGATTGGGTTGCTGTGGGATGAGACATTCTTTGAATTCGTTGGCGAGGTAATGCCGCAAGACCGGTATGCTTATTCGTTGCAATGGTTTGTGTTGATTTTCTTCCAGTGCCGCCATGGCATCGGCTCCTGCTTCTTCATCGAGGCGAGCCTGTTCATCCCGGAACCCATTTTCTAATTGTCGCTGTTCTTGTTGTTCCTGCGACTTGCGTCCAAACAGCACTTCTTCTCTGGAAATGTAAAAGTGTGCCTCATGAGTGGCCAATGCCAACATGATGAGATCAGCATCCAATCCGTGCAAAACATGGACTAGATTGGGATTGTAGGCAGGTTGACTCCGTTGGAGCCGAATGTGGCTCATGATTTTATGCTCTCCTTCCCCCGGCAAACTCGCGTCACTAAAGATGACCCGTATACTTTGCCATCCCTTGTCTTGGCTGATTCGTTTGCGCACATAGAATCGAAGGAACTCACTCAATCGCAGCATGAACGAAGTCCCAGGAGTAATGACATTGGAATCCCAGACGGTGGCTTCGGGCGGTGCGTCCTGCCCCGCCTCTGTGAGCTCGGTTCGGACATGAGCCTCCAATTCCTTGAGCTCTCGTGCTTCTTGGGCACTCCGGAATCGCCTGGCTCGTTGTTGATTCATTTTGGCTCGAGGCGCCACTCCATCAATGGCCAAATACAGCAACTGTCGCGGTCGCATGATCCGCATGAGACGATCCACATAACGACAAACATTCTCAAACATTTCCTCTTCGCATGTGGGTTGTGGACCAACTTCCGGATGGGAACACGGGTGAATGATCCCATTCATGTCAATGTACAAATGATCGCATTCCAGGCCACTCGGATTGGGTTTGGTCAGGTCAAAGGGAGCTCGAGTTGTCCCATAGAGAAGCTTGACGCGTTCTTCTAGCACATCCTCCACAATCTTGGGATACTTTTCGGACAGCCAACGGTAAAAGGCCGGCACACCCATCTTGGTGGATTGGTCTTATGTACGCAAGCAATGATATCGAATCGATCCGATCGATCGACGTGTGATGGACGCGCCTAAAACGAGAGAGACGCTTGGTTTGCCGCCGCTCTTTTGTTTCGTACTCAACCCCTGCAACGAATCAGCAGCGCTTGGACGCTTGTACAGTGCTCAATGATGGCTTCCATGAACTGCTCGGCTAGTAATAGCTGGCGTTGAATTACGATTGCTAGATCTGCTGCTCTCCTCTTCCATGATATGCTCCAGGAGGTGTTGCCTGATGGCTGTCAAACGGCGTCGTCTGTGCTGTGTGTCGAAGTGGGATTGAGCCTGAACCCTATTAATTCATATGCCCTCTGGGTCGTCTCCGTTTCCAGTACTAGTTTAACTCGTTTACTAATACAGGATTATGGTGAATAGAATCGAATGAATCATGTGGCTTATATTTAGGGTTTAGGTTTTGCAATTTTGAAGTCAACGTGGTATATGTGAGGTTGTAAAAGTTTTGTGTGATAGTATGTGCTAAGTGGAGGGTTGGCTCGCTTCCGCTGGGAGCTTGGTGTCTTCTTTTTCCTCTGTTTCCCGCTCTTCTTCGGTACTGGGGTATTCGGTAATAGGATCGTGAGCAAGTTCGGCAGCTTTCT